CAGTTTAAGGATGATGGGGTCCACCCGTAACTAAGGGAGCTCAGAAGTGGCGCGTGGTTCTTCCCTTGTACGTGTAGTAGCATTGCTCTTTGATTTGTGATCACAGCCATTTTCTACCAGGCATGTCATTTCTGGGCTCTGCAGTTTCAGTCTGGCTTTGAAAACGTTCATTAAAACATACCACCCCATTTCCAATTTCTTCATACTAGACTGGCCTCTCTTATTTTCCTTTCCTGGTTCCATCTTAGCAAATCAAGAGTTTATATACCTTTCCCTATCTTTTTGTTTAAAAGCCCTGGTACTCTCAGCAAATTCCATGTGACCAGGCCGCCTAGAGAGGTGGCAAAGAATTGCAATTCATTTTTGGATTCCTCTCTGTGGAATTACCCTCTTCTCTGGTGTTTCCAGGCGCTTCTCAACCTCATGCCTACCGTACTAATAATTTATTGAAAATTCAGAAGCCAGCAGCCTAATGTTGGGCCTGCAGAAGAAGTCCCCAGTGTTTGTCCTCAAGGAGTGTATAATTTAGTGGGACGTAGACAGCACTGGGAATTCTACCACGTTTTCCCTGGACACACAGTCTGTACCCTGGGCCCACTCTCCAATGTCCATTGCTTCTGATGAGCCCTTAAACCTAGACATGTTTGTTTCTTTGAACTCAGTAGGAGAGTTTTTCCCCACCCCAGAGATTGTCTTCATTGAAGAACGGAATTAAAAGCACAGTATGTGCGTACACTTAAAAACGATCCAGATACCCGACAACTGTTATGAGACTGCTGCTAACCCAACAGGTACGCTGGTGTTTCATAAAGTTATGTTATTTGCAAAGCTTTGTCTTCTGTAACTGCTTGTCTTTAGAAGCCTGCCTGTGTAGAAGGGAGACCTCTGAGTATTATTTGCTACAAACAAATAGCTTCCAACACTTCTGCAGACTCCTTTAGCAGGAACATAGAATCGATAATCCAGGGATTAAGAGCCAGCCTTGTGGCTTGGGTTTGGTGAGTTGTAGCTCGACCTGGGACCAAGAAACAAAGTTGGGTAGTAAATCATTAGGGATTTGTTTTTCCAACAGACTTGGGTGATTGAGAGTTATGTCTTATAAGGAGGTAATTTCTGCTTTACTAAGATACTGTATTGAAGTATCTAAATATCTTTAGACTATCTTCTTAGTTTTTCCTGTATCTTTTTTTTTTTTTTTTTTTTGGTCACACCACGTGGCATGCAGGGTGTTAGTTCCTGGACCAGGGCTTGAACCCAGGCCCCCTGCAGTGGAAGTGCACAGTCTTAACCACAGTCTTTCCCCCTGACCTGCATCTTTTTTCAGTTAAATAAGTATTTAATTCATACCAGTTACAATCAAGTCACTGCTGCGGATCTCCTTTATTCTCACATTATTTTAACTTAATGTTTAAATTAATCATGTCCTAGAATTCGGTAACACGTGTACATTGTACAGTAAGTTGTACAGTGAAAAGTAACTCTTCCTTCCCACTCCTGTACCCCAGCTGCCTGACCCCTTCAGCTGCCCAGTCCACAAACTCTGTGCCAGCTTCTTATGTGTTCTTCCAAAGGTAACTCCATACTTGCATAAACATCTGCGTGTGTTGTATTCTTTTTCTCTCACAAACAGTGCTAGCATGCTGTGATAGACTTATTTTGGTGGTCCTCTCAGTGAACTCCACTTCCTTGTATGTAAGCACTTATGTAACTCTCTTCCTTATTGACTGAGCTTGGCCACGTGACTGGCTTTGGACAATGGTGGATTAGCAGGTATGATGCAAGCAGAGGCTTGCTAAGTGCTTGCACACTGGGACTTGTTCTCTGTGAATGCTAACTACTGTGACACTCCCTCTCAGAACCCAGAAACCCCCAACGGTGAGGTACCCAGCCTAGCCACGTGCAGAGGCTACATGGAAGAGAGCCAAGGTCCCTGCCAACAGCAGCCACCCTCAACCTGCCAGCCATGTGCTGAATGAGCCATCTTCTTGCAAGTGGAACCTCCAGCCCCATTCAGCCACCCCAGAGATGAGCTTTACCTGCCAAACCCTGTCCAAGTTGAAAAACTGTGAGCTGTCTTCATAAGCCACTAAGTTTGGTTTGTCTTGAGCAGCAGATAACCGAAATACTAGATGCACTATATATTCTTTTTTCTTGTCAAAGGCTTACCTATTATTTATTTATTTAACTTATTTTTGGCCGTTTGGGTCCCGGTTGCAGCACGCAGGATCTTTCGTTGAGGCACGCGGGATCTTTCGTTGTGGTGCGTGGGCTTTTCTCTAGTTACGGCACGCAGGTTTTCTTTTCTCTAGTTTGCGGCTCACAGGCTCTACTTGAGGCACACGACCTCAGTAGTTGTGGTGCATGGGCTTAGTGGCCCCGTGGCATGTGGGATCTTAGTTCCCTGACCAGGGATCGAACCCTAGTCCCCTGCATTGTAAAATGAATTCTTTACCACTGGACCACCAGGGAAGTTCCTAGATGTGCTGTGTATTCTGTGCCTTGCTGTTTTCACTGAACCATGTATTAGATACCAGTCTATTTCACTGTTTATAGAGTTGCCTCATTCTTTTTAAGAGCTAGATAGTATTCCATTGTACATTTATGCAGTAATTTATCAGCCTCTATTGATGGACATTTATGTTGTTTTCAATGTGTTGTAGCATCTAATATCTTTGTTGCATGCTTCCTTTTGCATGCAAACAAATATATTTATTGCCTAAATTCTTAGAGAGTCACTGGGTCAAAGAATATGTGAATTTGTTATTTTAATAGATATTGCCAAGTTGCCTTCCCAAGAGGTAACATTCCCACTAACCCTGGGGAATGAGTCAGTGGGTGCCAACTTGAATGGTGAAGACCGTGTCAACCTCACATGTGAGGTGGGAATGTTAATATTTCTCCTTTAATGTTGCTTTTCATATATTGAGAAGCCATTTGCATTTCCTTTTTGATGAACTGCCTTCTTTTTTCTGTTGGAATGTTGGCCTTTTTCTTTTCGAAGGAGCTCTTTATATATTAAAGGAATTAGCTCTTAATTTGCTTAAGGTGAAAGCAAGTCTTTTTTTTCTCTCGGTTTATCTTCTGCCTTGGTTTGAACAATTTGTTTTCCTCTTATTGTGGTTAGATATACCAAACTTTTATTTTATAGCTCTGGATTTTCTTGCTTTTGTTTTGTCATATTTAGGCTTTCCCCACTCTGAGATTATAATAGATATTCTCCTATGTCTTCATCTAGTACTTTTATTATTTTGCTTTTTACGTCTTCATCTTTGATCTGTCTGAATTGTCTTCTGATATGTAGATTCCAAATTTATATTTTTCCAAATAGGTTTCCCAGGTGTCTACCCAGTCGTCCGTTAATACTGTTATGCCATGTCATCCTTATCATATACATTTCTGTATTTACACCATAGATAATTTCAGTATGTTTTTTGAATCCATCAAATTTTTGAGTTACTGTCTCATAAATTACTTAATTATCCCTTTTTCTCTATTTTAAAATATTTTTTTAAATTCCTTATAATTATTAATCCCAAACTAGCTTGTGATTTCCTCTGTGGATATACAAATGAATATTTATAGTCTGTTTTAAAAGTTATTTAAACTTTCATCTTGTGAAGCTGCTCAAAATCTGAAGTTGGAAAGATAAGCATTTTATGCACAGGGACAGGGAAGATCAATCCATGTAATCGAGCTTCAGCTGAAGATGAGTAGGCTTGTGTAGGTGTCGAGTGACGTGCTTTTTTATCCGTTGCCATATACAAAGGCCTGTGCCCAAATGCCTGAAGCAGGTAATAGTACTGGTATAAAAACTATATCTAGGGCTTCCCTGGTGGCGCAGTGGTTGGGAGTCCGCCTGCCGATGCAGGGGACGCGGGTTCGTGCCCTGGTCCGGGAGGATCCCGCGTGCCGCGGAGCGGCTGGGCCCGTGGGCCATGGCCGCTGGGCCTGCGCGTCCGGAGCCTGTGCTCCGCAGCGGGAGAGGCCCCAGCGGTGAGAGGCCCGCGTACTGCAAAAAAAAAAAAAAAAAAAAAAACTATATCTAGTTAAGAGAGTGGTGAGGCTGGGACCCTGCGAAAGGGAAGTTTTGTTAACAGAATGGCTGAGGCCACATCATGAGAAGACATCAGGAAACTACACTTGAGCTGTGATACGCTAAGAAAATGAATCCGTTTAATTTGGTGAAGCACGTGTCGTTTTTAGGTAATGTCTCCAGCGGCCCTGAGCACCCGGCGGGGCAGGGACTCAGCCGAGGCAGAACAAGGCAAGTGCCTTGTTCAGCCCAACTTCCTGTTCTTCCAGCTTTCCCCCTCCCCCTCCTCTTGGTCCCCTTGGCACTGCTGTGCTCACTTCCGTGGCTCCAGGGGCGTCCTTCGAGACCTTTTTTCACAGGCACTGTGGTCTGGCCCCATGCGCTGGGAGGTCTGCATTTGGAACATGTGCCCTATGCCTATTAAGTCTAACCCCTGCTAAGAGAATGAGATGGACACCCCTAGAAAGAGATGCAGAATTAGGGTGTGGCCTATTCTGTGTATTTGCATTCCAGCAGGACGTCCAGAGTTTAAGCTGGAAGGACCAAGTCCAGTGGGGAGATTTCAGGTGTCAGCCGGAGTCGGGGAGGTCTTGTGGGACCTGTGCCCTTCTGCTGTGGGCTGCTGTGCTCTCTGCCTCTGTCGTAGGCCTGCCATGCTAGTTCTGTGCGGGTCAGCCCCATCGTGCTCTCCTTTCCCACAGAAACCTTCATGCCTTCTACCAAGGTGGGCAGTTGACTTCTGGGTTCAGAATCACAGAAAGTCAGAGCTAGAAGGAACCCCTCTGAACCCTTTCATATGATAAGTAATGTCTTTATAGATTTCCTCCCCTTTTTTAATGTTCTCGTACTCTTGGGATGTTTGGACACCAGTGGTATTGTTTTCCATTTTCTCGGTGCCACACAAGCTGGGAGATTTTAGAAAATGTTTAGTTTTAAGGATAAAAAATGTTCTTTCTCTTCCTTTTAGATCCTGCCTAAGATTTCCTGGCCTGCTCGAACCTGGGAGCCAACGATGAAGCAGAGTTTTGCCTTTGACAACAATGGCTACGAGGACGGCCTGGATGGCGTGCACCCTTCTCAGACGGCCACCGGCACCATCAGCATCGTGGGCATGACCTGCCAGTCGTGTGTGAAGTCCATCGAGGGCAGGGTGTCTAGTCTGAAAGGTATCGTGAGCGTTAAGGTTTCCCTGGAGCAGGGCAGCGCCATGGTGAGGTACATGCCCTCAGTCCTGAGCCTGCCTCAGGTTTGCTGTCAGATTGAGGACATGGGCTTCCAGGCCACTGTGGCGGAGGGAAAGGCTGCCTCCCGGCCATCCAGGTTCTCGCCCGCCCTGGAGGCTGTGGTCAAGCTTCGGGTGGAGGGCATGACCTGCCAGTCCTGCGTCAGCTCCATAGAAGGTAAGATCGGGAAACTGCAGGGCGTCATGAGGGTTCGCGTCTCGCTCAGCAACCAGGAGGCAGTCATCACTTACCAGCCTTACCTCATCCAACCCCAAGACCTCAGGGACCACGTGAACGACATGGGGTTTGAAGCCGTCATCAAGAACAAGGTGGCCCCCGTGAGCCTGGGACCTATTGACATCAGGCAGCTCCAACGCAGCCACCCAAAGGCCCCTCAGGCTTCCATTAACCAGAATGGCAATAACTCAGAGACCTCGGGGAGCCAGGGGGTGCCCCTGTATCTGAGAGTGGATGGAATGCACTGTAAGTCTTGTGTCCTGAACATTGAAGAAAATATTGGCCAGCAGCCAGGGGTTCAGAGTATCCAAGTGTCCCTGGAGAACGGGACTGCCCAAGTCCAGTACGACCCTTCCCGCGTCTCCCCAGGGACCCTGCAGAGGGCCATTGAGGCTCTGCCACCCGGGAACTTTAAAGTCTCTCTACCCGATGGAGCGGAAGGGAGTGGGACAGACACCAGGAGCCCCCAGGCGCCCGGCGTGCGCTGTGCTGCAGTGCTGGCCATCGCTGGCATGACCTGTGAGTCCTGCGTCCAGTCCATCGAGGGCCTGGTTTCCCAGAGGGAGGGAGTGCAGCGTATCTCAGTGTCTTTGGCTGAAGGGACAGGAACGGTTCTCTACGATCCATCTCTAACTCACCCAGCAGAACTCCGAGCTGCGGTGGAGGACATGGGATTCGAGGCCTCCGTCCTGGCTGGTACGTGGTTGATGCTAAGTTCCTTGGATTTTTAGCTTCTTTTCTGAAGAGAACACTGATTCTGTGTTCTTTTTTTTTTTTTAATTATTATTTTTGGCTGTGTTGGGTCTTCGTTGCTGCTCACAGGCTTTCTCTAGTTGCGGCGAGCGGGGGCTACTCTTTGTTGCAGTGCACAGGCTCTGGGAGCATGGGCTTCAGTAGTTGCAGCACGTGGGCTCAGTAGTTGCAACACACGGGCCCTAGAGTGCGAGGGCTTCAGGAGTTGCAGCGTGTGGGCTCAGTAGTTGTGGCGAGCGGGCTTCACTAGTTGTGGTGCACGGGCTCTAGACCGCAGGCTTAGTAGTTGTGGCGCACGGGCTTAGTTGCTCCGTGGCATGTGGGATCTTCCTGGACCAGAGCTACAACCCGTGTCCCCTGTATTGGCAGGCGGATTCTTAACCACTGCGCCACCAGGGAAGCCCCTGTGTTCTTTTTAAAAAGAGTACTTTGGGAACACCTGGCCCTTCTCTCTCCAAAGGAAACATCATCATTTGCTCTGAGATTTCTCTGCTAAACAAAACAGAATAATAAAGACAACAGGACCCTGGTTTCACCACTTGGAGCCCATTCTGTTGATAGTGGGAAAGAAGGGAAGGATATGATGATGGTTTCCCTTCCCACCCACCCCCGACCATGGCTGTGAGAAGGGGGGGTGTGTGTGTGACAGCCTTCCCAAAGCAAGGTGCCCACATACCTTGATGCCACGCCACTAGACAGTTTCCAGGGTGGTGGCTGTCCCCAGGCCCCCTCCCATTGACCCGCCAGCCACTCACTTGCCTGTTTTCCCCTCCATTGCCTTCACTCGGGAGCCCAGCAAGTTGTCTTAGCGTCCTTCGTGTTTCTGCCCCTCACCAGGTCTGTGTGAGCTGTGGGCTGCTGAGCAGCGAGGTACCTTCCCCCACCCCCACCCCAAGATCTTATGTGGTAGCAGGGAGGGGGAAACCACGTGGGGCAGCAGGTGTCAGCCCTGTGAGGGGGAAGGGGGGCTTCTAGGGAGGGCTCCCTCTGGGGGGGGGGTGGGAGTGAGCCAGTGAGCCATGGGAGGTGGCAGAAACACGGCCGGGGCCCCTGTCCTGCCCCTCATGGCTGACTCCCACTCACTCCCCCCACCCCGAGGAGCCCTTCCTAGGCCCCTGCACCACCCACCCCCAAGGGGAGCGGGTGAGTCATGTGGAGCGACTGGGCCCCATTCTGGGCTTTGTCTTTGTACCAAGTTTCAGGAAGGACATTTGTTTTGTTTTGTTTTTTTAAACAAAAATCAATAAGGAAACTGGAACAGTAAATCCTGTACTCAGAAGCTAAGACATGTAGTATGTAGTCGCCATCTGCTATATTTGTATAAGGTTTAAAGTCTTAAAACAGTGGAATCAAGTTATCAGCAGTAAAAAGAAATTTGCATTGAACTGTATAATGCAGAATAATTGAACTTGACTACGTAAACCTGGAGAGAAAACAGGGATTTTTTTTTTTTTTTTTTTCCTGTATGCGGGCCTCTCACTGTTGTGGCCTCTCCCGTTGCGGAGCACAGGCTCCGGACGCGCAGGCTCAGCGGCCATGGCTCACGGGCCCAGCCGCTCCGCGGCATGTGGGATCTTCCCAGACCAGGGCACGAACCCGTGTCCCCTGCATCGGCAGGCGGACTCTCAACCACTGCGCCACCAGGGAAGCCCAACAGGGATTTTTATTAGCCAGAATTATGAGAATTATGTTTAGCCCAAGAGGTATTTAGGCAACCAGATTTAGCAAATAAAAATACAGGACGGGCTTCCCTGGTGGCGCAGTGGTTGAGAGTCCGCCTGCCGATGCAGGGGACACAGGTTCGTGCCCCGGTCCGGGAAGATCCCACATGCCGCGGAGCGGCTGGGCCCGTGAGCCATGGCCGCTGAGCCTACGCGTCTGGAGCCTGTGCTCCGCAACAGGAGAGGCCACAACAGTGAGAGGCCCGCGTACTGCAAAAAAAAAAAAAATACAGGATACCTAGTTAAGTTTCAATTTCAGATAAACAATGAGTAACGTTTTAATATTAGTATGTCCTGTGCAGTATTTGAGACATACTAAAAAATTACTGTTTATCTGAAATTCAATTTTATCTGGATGTCCTGTATTTTACCTGGCAGTCTTAGTTTAGGATAAACCATAAGTGTGCTGGTGACTGTCTTTTATAGCCACTTAAATGCGAAAAAGGCATTATTTGTATTTGGTCGGCCATTCTGGATTGACCAGGGGCTCCTTGAGGACTGTCTTCAAACCATGTGATTTGTTTCTCCTTTGACTCCGCAGCACCCAGCACACAGTAGGTGTTTGTGAAGGAAACGAAGGAGAAAGGAAATAACGGGCTGGGACAGGCAGGGTCTCAGGTCAGCCGATGGAGGGAACTCTTGAGAGAGATTACAGAGCTGAAAAACCAAACAGGAACTGGGAGGGAAAACAGGAAATTAAAAAAACAGGAAAACCACCCACAGATGGGAGGGTCTGAGGGAAGGCAGGTGTTTAGTTTACACGAGCCCAGGGGCTGAGCTTGCCTGGTGGGAACTGGCCAAGGGCAAGGCTATGGCAGGAGCCGGGGCCCCGGTGGAGAGATGGCAAACACTTGGGTCCTCCTCCTTTCTGTCCTGTTGCTTCCTGTTTGTTACCTCCATGTGCCAAATTTAATCAGAAACCAGTTGACAAGGGAGCCTGGGAAAAGTGGTTTGCAGGGGTCAGCCCCTTGGTAGTGGAGCAGGGGGAAGGAGGGAGGGAAAGGGTCTGAGAGCATACGGGCAAGAGACAGGCATTGAGTTTCAGTCCCTTACTTGACAGCTAAAATACATTTAGACCAGGTTGTAGAAGGCAGCTGTTATTTCTTCACTTGTTTGCATGGTAAGTAGTTTTTGAATGGATGGATGGATGGATGGATGGGATACATGAATACAAAGTGAGGAAAATTCACCTGTTACGTATAGCATGTTCCTCTCACCCTCATAAGTGAGTGATGTCACTTTCAGGGCACGGTTCCCTCACCCCTGCACGTGCTGGGGGTCTTCTGGGGCCCGGGTCCTGTGCCAGCTGCCGTGAAGTGCTCAGCGGCAGTCCAGCACCCGCCCACAGCGGTTCACACTCTCCCGGGGAAGCAGGTCACAGAGGCCCCTTGTATCATCCAAGGCAGGTTAGAATAAATGTTGTAACAAGGAAGGTGTAGGTCAGATGCTTTTGGGATTCAGAAGAATCCCGCTTGTGGGGCTCCCAAGGACATGATGTAGGGGTGACCATGGAGTTGGGCGTGGATAGGATTGAAGAATGGATAGGATCTGAACAGGCAGGAAAGGGCAGGACTGCATGCCAGGCGGAGAGACAGGCCAGCACCCTGGTGCAGGCTACCGTCCTCTGCTCCTGGATCCTGGAAGGGGGTCCAAACTGGTCTCCCTGCTTCCTGCCTTCCAGCCCGGTCCCCAACCAGCTTTCACAGCGATCCTGTCGCGCTGCTGACCCTCCTGGCCCATCCCGTCTTGTATTGTGAGTGGAAGAGTCCTCATGGTGGTCCCTAAGCCGCTCCCTCACCCACCACCTTTCTAGCCCTGACTCAGTTCCTCTTACCAGGCTTGTTCTCACCTCAGGGTTTGTACTTGCTGTCCCCTGTGTCTGGAATGCTCTCCCTGAAAATGCACACAGTGTTCTTCATTTCATAGCTGCTCATCCGGACTTTTCCCAGGGCCTATATCATTTTTATATAGAAATATATAGGTTTGTATCATACATAGTTTTGTAATCTCTTTTTCGCCCTGTGACTTACCATAAACATAACTTACGGGTCCATCCGTGTGTCTGCAGTACCATGTTCAGCGGCCGCATGGCCTCCCAGCATATGGGTGTACCATAACTTCGTTTCCTCTTTATTTTTCCCATCTATTTTGTGTGGATGTCATTGTAAATAATAATGATAGGATTGTTGTGACTGTAAATACAATTGTCCGTGAAGACCGTCTTCAGACTACATGATTTGTTTCTCCTTTGTGCACGTCCTTAATTATTTCCTTGTGATAGATATCTGAAGGCATAATTGCTGGGTCACAGGGTATCAGCATTACTTCATTCCATCACAAATATTTATTGTGCCCCTACTAAGTGCCAAGCAATTAGAGGTACGGTTCTTGATAATACTGTCAAATAGATTTCCAGAAAGTCAAATCAATTTATATGCCCACCCGTAGTGTTGGCATAGGTTGATAAAGGACCCAGTAGCGTAGGCTTATTTGGGTTTTTGTTAATTTATTTAAACTTTTTTTTAGCAATGTCCAGAAGCCCAGAATTTAGTTGAGTTAGACCTCAGTGCTGGAGGTCTAACGAATACTACTGAAATTGCTGACAACAATATTTGGGTAGAAAGGCAAGTGAATCCAGGAGGTGGTGATGGACTGGAAAAAGAGGGAGGGGCTGGACAGGTGCAGGAGGGTCTGGTGGGGGTGGGAGCTAGAATGTTAAGAGCTGACATCCAAGGGGTGGAGTCATTTTGAAGAAGGACAAAGTCCAGGAGAGCAGAGCTGTGCTGGGTGAGGTGATGCTCTCTGCATCCAGAAGGTGGAGGGCTGTAAGGCCAGAGCACTGGAGGGTCTTTGTCCATCGACTGCACTCTTAAAGTGAATGGAAGTAGTTTTAGCACTTTCCAGAAAATGAGCTTCTATGTTTTGCAGCTGTGGACTTTGAAGTAAGGAGAGTTCATCATCAAATGATGTCATTTTTTCCTACATACTCTTCAAGGTATTTTGTGTCATCACAAAACTGTGACTTTTTGGAGTGATGAAATTTTCTGTATCTTGATCTGGTCGATGGTTAGTTACATTGGTCTATATATGCGTGGTGGGTGGAGTAATGGCCCCCAAAGATGTCTGCTCCCTGACCCCTGGTACTCGGTGGGGAAAGGAGAACTTTCATCATTGGAGCTGGACTACTGGAAGTCCAAATGGAAAGAAATTACCCTTGGCTATCAGCTCAGACCTACACGGAAGTTAATTTGAAGTATATCGGTGGCCTGAATGTGGAGGTTCATTTAAAATAACAGAGGTGCCAGGAGAGCATGTCATGGCTATTTTCAGCGTGGCGGTGGACACATCTATTAATAGAGCACAGGATGCACTCACCACTGAAGTTGGTTTAGTTGACTCTAAGTTGGGCTTCATTAACGTCAAGGACTTCTTTTATCAAAAGAAATACCGTTAGATGAGGGTGAGAAAGCAAACCACAGACTGGGAGCCAGTGTTTGCAGTGGGTACAGCTGACAAAGGGTTCCTGCCCAAAATGTATGTAGGACCTAGACAAAGGACGAGAAAAGGGCCAGCGACTCAATAGAGGTGTTTTGGGGCATTTTGATTCTCATGGGGAGGGAGAGGACCTCTGTTAACCAGGAGGTGGCCAGGCGTAGAGGCTCGATTCCCTGCTTCATACCTGAGGGGTTTGGGGCAAAGCATTTAATTTCTTGTAACTCTTCTCTTCACTTGTAAAATGGGGATGGTAGTAGTACTTGCCACAGGGCTATGTTAACAGTTAAAGGAGGCCAGACGTGTGCTTAGCAGGGTGCCTGGTGCGTTCTTGCCACTGCTCTACCGTCATTGTATCATTAGAGCATTTGTCTACCCAGAACATTCCGTCCTTGCAGTATCGGCGTGTTTTCCTATGTATGGAATCGAGTGCCTCCGTCTGGTTGTGGGGAGGGAGAGACAGTGATGGAAACACCAACCCCCCTTTATCTTCTCCAGGAACTTTCATCTGAACATTGTCAAGCTTGAGCCTCCTGTTCCGGAAAAAAAATTATCCATTCTTCTAATTTGAACGATTTGTGACATTCTATCCTAGAAAACTGTTCCAGCACCCACGCTGGGAACCACAGTGCTGGGAGCGCCACAGGGCACACGGCGGCTGGTGCACCTGTGTCCGTGCAGAACGGGACTCCCCAGCCCGGGGGTCTCCCTACAAACCACAACCCCGGCCTCGTGTCCAAGTCCCCTCGGGCCTCCGAAACCGTGGCCCCGCAGAAGTGCTTTCTACAGGTCAGAGGCATGACCTGCGCGTCCTGTGTGTCCAACATAGAGAGGAACCTGCAGAAAGAAGCTGGTAAGAGGTCTCCACCACGCCGAGCTGGGATGCTGCTGTGGATGGCAGCGTGTAGACTGCTGGAGGCCACGGTCAGCAGCGTGGGGCGGTGTGCCCTTGGCACGAGATGGCCTTGGGCATCTCCACTGACTGCATTTATCAGGAGCCCTGATCATCTGGCAGTGGCTCATTGTGTGATAGGACAGATGTTTGTCTAATGTTCTGGGGCAGTTGGCGTCCTGCTCTTTAAGAAGTACTTAGTTTGAGATAAAATGGATTGCGGAGTAAGTTAGCCATGGGGAATCCGGTTTAAAGGTCAAGGTACTGCCATGGGTGGCCTCCCCAACTAGCTTGTCCTGGTAGTAGTCTGTGGTTTTCCCTTCCAAAGCCTCTTACGGTCATACACATAAATAGCCTGCATTCTGTCCTGTTGTCATTGTAAATCATAGCGTGTTGCGGAAATGCCAAAGTTTTGTCCTCTAAACGACATTGCCAATCTGTTTTTTTTTTGTTGTTTTTTTTTTTTCCCCGGTACGCGGGCCTCTCACTGTTGTGTCCTCTCCCGTTGCGGAGCACAGACTCCGGACGCGCAGGCTCAGCGGCCAGGGCTCACGGGCCCAGCCGCTCTGCGGCATGTGGGATCCTCCTGGACTGGGGCACGAACCCGTGTCCCCTGCATCGGCAGGCGGACTCCCAACCACTGCGCCACCAGGGAAGCCCACCAATCTGGTTTCTTAAAGCTGAGAGTGCAGCGAAAATCCTGTCCCAATTTTTTTGTTTGGAAAATACCTTAACCGTGACTCTGCCGGCCTCCGGGGTCACCTTCTCTCTTCCCATGGCTCCGTACGTGGGTCCTTCTGCTCCGGCTCAAGGATAACATGTTTCCCGCCTCCTGCTCATCAAGCCTGCAGCTTCCTGGCGCTCTAGAAGGTGGCTCTCACACCAAGGTGTTCTAGGAGCTCCTCTGTCGCCTGTGGGCTGGCGGCTCAAAAGCTAACCTGTGTCTCACAGGGCCCATGATTCTCTTCCCGACTTGAATCCCTCATATTTATCCTTTATGACATTCTTTCTAAAGCACATCATTCCTTTCATTTATGTGAATGAGCCTTTCTTCCTCCCCTTAAACTAAACAACAGTGGTAGCAAGATAGTCCGCAGGATTTCTTTTTCTTTCCTGAAAGTGATTAAAAACTGAAGAGTATGGAAAACCACTTTTGAAAGTGATTTTTTTCTCCTGTGTCTGGAAGTGGAGAAAAAAGTACACCCGTTATGTGACAGCAGTTGCCTGGTGCAGACACTGTCCCTTGCTTTGAGGTGTGTGCCCGCACCTGTGTCCCTTGCTTTGAGGTGTGTGCCCGCACCTGTGTCCCCCAGAGCCTGCCTCAGAGCGGCGCCCGCCGGGCCAGCAGTATGGGCCATGCCTGGGAGCCGGGCAGGCCTGCAGAACCTCACACCCTCCCCAGACCCACTGAACCAGCGTTTTTGCTTTAACCAGGGCCTAAGGTGAGTCATATGCCCAACAAAGTGTGAGAATCACCTGGGGAGCTTTAAAAAGGGGAAAAAAGATGCCTGGTATCCACCCTGAGAGATTCTGATTTAATTGGTCTGGGTTAAGAGTTAATCACCAGTCAGGTGATTGTTAAAAGCCCTCCCCCCTGCCCCCACCCCAGGTGATCCTACTGCACAGCCAAGTGTGAGAACCACTGTTCTAGAAGCTTCTGGGGCAGAGGTTTTTCTTTGTTAGCTTATGTTGAACACATCATCCCCCGAGGCCTTGCCTGGAGTGTTCCAGCTGTGCCCTGCTGGTTTCAGGGATTCTCTCAGTGCTGGTTGCGTTGATGGCTGGAAAGGCAGAGGTGAAGTATAACCCGGAAGTTATCCAGCCCCTGGAGATAGCGCAGCTCATCCAGGACCTGGGCTTCAAGGCAGAGGTGATGGAGGACTGCGCGGGCTCAGACGGCGACCTCGAGCTGATTGTAAGTGCAGCGGCTGGGCTGGAGCGGGGGCCAGAGGGTGCAGGCCTGAGACAGCCCACGGAGGCCTTCTGACAGCAAGCGGGGTTGTGGTCAGGACGTTCCCCCTTCTTGCATGTATCCTGTTCGTTGCTATTGGGTTTTCCTTTGAAGCCAGTGACAAGGACCTGCTCGTTTTGTGAAGGAATGTCCACTATGTCAGAAAGTCGCAGGCGCGCGTCCCGCCAGGTCCCGCCAGGCGCTTCAGGGTATCGGGAGGAGGAGGCAATGGCGTTGGAGGAAGAGGAATTGGAGACGGCAGCTGCCCTGAGCTTGTGGCTCGAGGGAGTCGAACAGGAACACGTCCCGTGAGGCCGAGAGGAAGCTGGAATGCCAGAGGCGTCTCGAGGCCCCGGGACGGGATGGGAGTGAGCGAGGCAGTCGGGGCCACCTTGTAGGCGCAGGTGTGTCTACAAGGTACTTGGTGACCAGAGTGTCCCCAGGCGCTCAGTCCGGGGTGAACGCCGGGGGTGGTGCTGTTTCCAGGGCTGCTGGGGAGCGGAGGGACGAGGCGCTGGTATTGTTTCCTGTCTGCTAGTCAACAAACCATCGAGGACAGAAGATAGCTCTAGTATTTCAAATACACCGTGTTCACAAACACTTCTGCGCAAAGCTCTTTTTGTGCAAATAAAGGGAGACTTAGAAGGAATCCACGAGGAATTGAATAACTCTGTTAACCGAAGTGAAAACTTCTTTGCTATGTTTAGTCACTGCCATTAGCGGTAGGTAAGTAAATGTTTGAAGAAAAGGTACTGCGGACACACATGGCACTTTGAGCTCCTGAGAAGTGGAGTTCTTTGCAGAGCACATCCTTTGCTCTGGCTGGGCCTCGGTGTGTGCAGAGGGGCACAGTGTAGTAGTCGCTGGGTCAGACCTCCAGGGCCCGAGGTGCACATCTCTCCGCACACTACGGTGTGGAAATCTAGAGCAAGACAATCAGTGGGGAAGGTGAAAACATCTTTTTGAACAATGTTTTTTTTTTCTTATTACGGTGTCCTATAGTTGTATTGTCGTCACATGCTCAGGCATTTCATGTCTGTATTTAATTTGTATTCTGGGAAGTGCTGACCACTGATACTCAGAAGAGCGAGTTGTCCGGCTTGCCTAATGCAGAGCACAGGGGTGGCTGGCTCACTTGGAACTTCTTTCTCAGTGCACACAGCACGGGGTGGCAGAAATGCAAAACCAACACAGGGCGTAGAGTGCTGTGAAAGCCCGTTGTTAGCAGAGCTGCGAGTGGGGCCTTGGTCCTTGCCATCTGCTTAGTGATTGGTCTCCTGTACGTGAGTTGAGGAAGAACCACTGTTTATGTCCCCGAGGCTCCTGCGGGAATGTCCGGGGTGAAAATCTTGCACCTGGGGGTTGTGAGTCCAGCATCTTGGGAAGGAGGACAGACTGGTGGCTGCCTGTTAACCCAACTCCCTGTGTGCAACTCCCTCTGGATCCTGGGTCAGTGGGATCTTTGTCATCCTTTGCCGCAGATCACGGGGATGACCTGCACTTCCTGTGTTCACAACATAGAGTCCAAGCTCACAAGGACGAACGGCATCACCTACGCCTCTGTGGCTCTTGCCACCAGCAAAGCCCATGTGAAGTTTGATCCTGAGATTATCGGTCCGCGGGATATTGTCAAAATTATCGAGGTAAATCATTTATCAAAAAACTATTGTACCCACCTTTTAAAACACAGTGATATATAATCATCATAGAAAAATGAGCAAAATATAGCTAAGCAAAAAAAAAAAAAAAAAAAAAAAACACCTAATCTAAAATCCTGCAAGATTCCCCGTGGAAATAAGGTGACTCAACTTGTGAGCGTTTAGTAAATATCAGATAATTTGAGGGGGAATCAGTGAATGGGTAAGAAAAAGATGGGGAGAAAAAGACATTATTATTGTTTTAATTTCAGTTATTCCCTGAGAAACAGCAGTATTGCCAAGATTCCTGGCACATGGTATTAAATTGCCTAATTGTGGGAATTCCCTGGTTGTCCAGTGTTTCACTGCCGACGGTCTGGGTTCGATCCCTGGTTGGGGAACTAAGATCCCACAAGCCATGCAGTGTGACCACCCCCCCCCCAAAAAATTGCCTAATTGTAAGTTTTTTAAGTAATATTTACATCTGTGCCACGTATCTACAGACCAAAGGAATGTTGGTGTTGGGAAGAATTACACTGCGTTTGACCACTATACTAGGCCTCCTTTACAGGTGGAGAGTTTAGTCATTTCTCCTTTGGAAAATCAATCACAGTAGTTTTCTGTACTCCCACCCCCCATCGTTCCCTCACATTGTCCACAGACATTCTGTGTCCTCTCTCAGGTCTGTATCATATCACACCAGGAGAGGATGAGCATTAGTGGTGATCTGAATGGGTCAAGATGGTCAAAACCGAGCAAGATGAACTCATAACAACGAATGGTGAAGTTTAGCAGAAACTACTGCTTATGAAATTCCTTATGAAATTAAACATCTCATAGCAGGCTTCAAGTTGTTTTAAATTTTCGTGTGTGTGTGTGTTAAGAGAGATGCTGTCTGTTGTCTGGCCATGCAGAGCTCTTTGAGGTGCAAATACTGCTACTGCTGTTGATACAGTGCCTCAATCTTAGAGGCAGACAATGCAGCTTCTTTGTCAGATGAGGAGAGATCCCCCAGAGAGGTTAGGAGACTTTGATCCCTGGTACCCAGCTAAAGGTTGCAGAGCTGGTGCTCCAACCCAGATCTCCTAGTTCCAAGCTCAGTGGGCATCCAGTTTCTGCCACCCCACGGGTCTTACAGAACAGTAGTGATAAGGCATTAATGAGGGAGAGCAGTCAACTGAGGCACTAATCCTTGCTGGCCTCCGCCCAGCTGCCCAGCCCGCTGCAGTCCCCTGCTTGTTCTTACTTGAGGTGAATTGCCAATGTCTGGCCCCCATTCCTGCATCTCTGGGGCATCTTTTCCTGATGTAATTAGGCCGGTATTAGTTGTAAAGGATTTGTCGTTAGATGGCCTTACATGCTCTTTCTTCCAACATAACTCTTAATTTTTGTGTAAAATCCCAACATCAGAGTCCCGGGGCCCCTCTTTACATCGTGCTGACTGACAGGACATTTCCTGACAACCTTTCCTGTATAATTTTATACAGGGAATCAGAGATTTAGCGACCAGATCAAATAAGATAGAGAGGGTGGAGGAGCAAAACGGTGAAAGAATTGCTTGAGATAATCCTTGAGAAAACAACAGGTACTGCCGGAGCCAAGGTCTGCTCGTTGGGAGAGGCCTGGGCTGAGCTGGGGGACCTGCAGCTGGATTCAGCGCTTCCGATGGTGCTGTAGCTTTGGACAGGAGTTTAATCCCTGACCTTCAGTTTCCTCCTACAGAGAGCGATACTCCTGACCGCTTGATACTGGGGAATCCGTAGCTCACAGATCCCGAGTTTATAACTCAGCATCAATCAGCTCAGGGTGTGCTAAGTCACCTCCCGGCATCTGCTGCCTTTGCCCACAGAAGGAGCAGCAGTCGCCTTGGAACCTCCAACGGGATCTGTACAGTGACGTGGGGACAGAAGTCGTGAGCGGAAAAACCAATACAGTCCTCTGAGGCGGTTTTAGATTAACTTTCTTCTTTTTTTTTAAAAAAAACTTTTTTCTTAATGTATTTATTTATTTATTTATGGCTGCGTTGGGTACTCGTTTCCGCGCATGGGCCTTCCCTAGTCGCGGCAAGCGGGGGCCACCCCTCATCACGGTGCGCGGGCCTCCCACCATCGCAGCCTCTGTTGTTGCGGAGCACAGGCTCCAGACGCGCAGGCCTAGTAATTGTGGCTCACAGGCCCAGCCGCTCTGTGGCATGTGGGATCCTCCCAGACCAGGGCTCGAACCCGCATCCCCCGCATTGGCAGGCAGACTCTGAACCACTGCGCCACCAGGGAAGCCCTAGATTAACATTCTTATTTCCAAAGATGTAAAATGGTTTCTACCGATGCCTGTTTTAACCAAATGCCTTCTTTCTTGTTTCCTCTTTCTAATAACAAGGAAATCGGCTTTCATGTCTCCCTGGCCCAGAGGAACCCCAGTGCTCATCACTTGGACCACAAGCTGGAAATAAAGCAGTAGGTAGAACACAGAAGATAAACTGTAGCTCTAAGGGCTGCCTCTCCCCTGGCCCGCCTCTACCTCATTCGGTGCTAATTGGTGTCCCTGCTACCTCCACCTTCCACGGCGCCTTCTGCTGAATTAGTTGCCTTTACCCTCGTAACGTTAATCCTCTAAAACAACGCTGTTCTATGGTACCTTCTGCTGTGACAGAAACGCTCTATATCTGCACTGCCCAGTATGAAATGCAGCCAGTGTGACTCAGGAAGTGAATTTTTAATTTCCCTTCATTTTAACTAATTTTAATTTAAATAGTTACCTATGGCTGGTCGCTAACAGATTGGACAGCACTTACGTTGGGAGTAAGGGAAGAGTGGGTTCTTTCTTTTATAGTATTTCAAGACTTTACTGGAGTGGGTCGAGATCTAGGATCCGAGGACAGGAATTACGGCCAAGTGGAAAGAAAATGGCTCGGGAAGCAGGAGACCTGAGCTCGTTCACTGTTGCAGATGTTCACTCATTCATTCAACAAACACAAGCCCGCTGTTGTATGCAGGGCACTGTGCCGGGTGCTAGGGGTGAATAGGGTGTCACCCCTACCTTAGAGGGGCCCTTAGTTGGGCTGGGAAGAGTGGGTGAGCAATGATGCAGGTGGGTTCTGGGGAGTCTGGGAAGCTAACAAGCAGGGGACACACGATCTGAGCCTCAAAGAATGAGTGGAAGTTTGTCGGTCTGAGAGGAGTGGGGTAGGAAGCGAGGTCTTTTCGGGGCTTGGAGGCAGGGGCCTGGGAGTGTGAGACTCCGATCTCGCAGGCCCGTGGTCTTCGGATCAGCGGTGAGGCTATGCTTCCTACAGCTTCCACGAGTGCTTGGAGGCAGGGGCCTGGGAGTGTAAGACTCCGACCTCGCAGGCCCGTGGTCTTCGGATCAGCGGTGAGGCTACGCCTCCTACAGCTTCCACGAGCCCTTGGTTGGAATTTTGTGGATGGTGAGGCTGATGTGAGACCATGGCTGTCACCTGTGACCCCGATTGCAAACTTCATCCGGGCAGCTGCACTGTTCACACTGACTCTGTTTTAAGTAATAGTTTAAAAGTTGAATGTATAAGTTTATACTAATGAAATGTTCCTTTTATCTATTTTTTTCTTGGGAGTCTATAAACGATTGCAGTTTGAAAAAAGAGCGGTAGCAGCCATAGACTGAGGATGGTCCACCTCTTTGGGGCTGAATTCTCAGCTTCTGGACCCCGGTTGCCTCACCTGTAGATTGCAGGTGCCACGTCAGCCACGGGCAGGCAGGGGCTGTGTCTAAACGTCTCTGGAGCATCCTTGCAGTGAAGTTTAGACCTTTGATGTTCCCCTCAGAGGGCCAATGCAGGGAGAGAGCCTTGCTTTCACTTTAGCCCTTGCTGGTCTGTCCCAGACATGTGGCAGAGGCCAGTCTCAAACCAAGCCCTCGGGAGGGGACGGGGCCAGAAGCCAGGTGACCGGCGGTACCTGCTATGTCGGTGTTGCTGTGTTTCTTTCCAGGTGGAAGAAGTCTTTCCTGTGCAGCCTGGTGTTTGGCATCCCTGTCATGGGTTTAATGATCTATATGTTGATACCCAGCCACGAGCCCCACGAGTCTATGCTGCTGGACCACAACATCATCCCGGGACTGTCCATCCTGAACCTCGTCTTCTTTATCTTGTGTACCTTTGTCCAGGTGCGTATTGGGGGGTGGGCACACCTGCCCAGCATGCCTGTGTGTGGCCAGCAGGTGCTCTGTCCTCTTAGGCCAGCACAGCCCTTCAGAGCACTCCAAGTGCAGCTTCGTTGCCGCTTTCCCACCACCCAGCCAGCTGCTGCTTTTTTGTCTTATGACCAGCTGGGGGGCGTCCTCTAACATGGGCAGTTCCACAGATGACCAGACTCCCCCTGGAACAGCAGCCCCCTGCGGCAAGGCTTGGAGATCCAGTGTGTCTTGTGTGCTTATTGTTCAGCTGAATTCGATGTTAGAAGCAGCAGCTGGACCACCCTGGAGCTCATGCTGCTCTCTTCCACGTCTTGGCTTGAATGACTGAAACGTGGTCCTGAGGAATCATAATTTAAAAGGGGCAGGCTTCGTGTTACTTCTGCCCTGGGGACTGCCTTAAGTAGCTAGCTGTATTTCTAGTGGGAAGTGTGCCTTCCATTTATTTTGGAATAGAAAATGAAACTCCTGACTTAATATTAGAATTAATTAATATTAATTAGGATTATCTGGGGGCAAGTGTTTATAGCCTCAATTTGGTTTTTCCAGATCTTCATCTGCATAGAAAAAAACACATATTTACGTGCATATGTATGTGTGTGTATATGTTCACATACTATAGACACAGGCTTTTTTTTTGGCCGAAATAGGATAATACTAGATACACTGATTTATAACTGGCTTTTTCACTTAACCACGTACTGTGTACATCTCTCACACCAGCGGTTAGGGGCCTAGCACGTTGTCTTCAGGGACCGCATAGCACTGTCCACAGTATGAACGCACCATGATTTCTTTCACCATCTTGAGCATTCTCCTACTAATGGACATCTAGGTTGTCCAGTGCTCTGGGTCTTAAAGGTCTCCCTGGATCAGCCACTCCTGTGGTCAGAAGTCCTCTGAATCAGGAAGTACATTTCGTACACATCACTTATGGAGGAAAAAGGTCATGTCAGCGTCGAGGGGGAGCCCAGGGTATTTACAGTCCCGAGGGCCCTTGTCACAAAGGTCACTCTCCCTCACCACCTTTCAGTTCCTCGGGGGCTGGTACTTCTACGTGCAGGCCTACAAATCTCTGAGACACAGGGCGGCCAGCATGGACGTGCTCATCGTGCTGGCCACGAGCATCGCCTACGTCTACTCCCTCGTCATCCTGGTGGTGGCCATCGCGGAGAAGGCGGAGAGGAGCCCGGTGACCTTCTTTGACACGCCCCCCATGCTCTTCGTGTTCATTGCCCTGGGGCGGTGGCTGGAACATGTGGCAAAGGTAACTGCAGCCTCAGGTTAAAGGAAGAACTGTTTCCTCAGTAACACAAACCTTAATTTATCTGAGCACCATGTTTAGAATTACTAATCATACACAATCTAGGGCAAGGCTTAAAGAAACATGAAGCCTACGTATAATTAGGTGTTCTGACCACGAATCTCCAAACTGGTCTCTGCTTCTGAAATCCCAGCTAATCTGGTTAATTATTAAAACCTGTGTTCAGATGCATCGTGCAGTGGAAAGAACCCTGGATTTCGGGTCAGAGCTCGTACCGAACCTCTTGGTACATAACTGAGTGTGTAGCTTCCTAGTCTAGAAATCCACACCATAGGGTCGTGCCATTTTTAGCACCCTGCCTTGTTCCCAGATTTCAATGTATCCTAATATAAGAGAGTGGGACTCAGGTCCTGAAAGAAATTAAATCGAACCTAAAAGAAAACAGTCATTGGACAGACTGGCATTGTTTCTTCAATCTGAAATGTAATTCATAGAACTCAGTTGCACTGTACACTCAGCACGGGGATGGCACGGCTGCGTGTTGACGGGCAGTGAGTGACACTCATCCCGGGAGAGCCCGCAGGCGTGCAGAGGGACCGCGTTATGGAGGCAGCCTTTTCTTGCGGGGTTTTCTCTAATACCAGCCTTGTGATTGATGGTCTGGGTTTGCACAGGCCAGCTTAGTATCGCTCTCATTCTACCTTCTGGTTATTTCTTAGAGCAAAACTTCAGAAGCCCTCGCCAAACTCATGTCTCTACAAGCCACGGAAGCCACCGTTGTGACCCTTGGGGAGGACAACTTAATCATCAGGTGGGTTGTCTTGGTCACACGTCCTTGATCGATTTAGATCAGCCCTGTGTGCTACACATCGCACACCTGTCGTGTGAAGGACGTGACACTAGACCTGGTGAGGGCCGGCAAAGACGGTACATGTTAGGAAGATGCCCCGTCTCAGTCCAGTTACGTAAACAAAGCCTTTATATACTAAAAGATGAGCAAGGGTTCAGGGGGGTGTATGTTTGCTAGATGATGAGTGAGAGGTACAGGCAGTATTTCTGGAACTTAGGAGAGGAAGGCTCGTGGTGGTCAAGCAGAGCTTCACAGAACATGGAGTATGAGCTGGGTCTCGCCCCCAGGATCTGGAGGATTTGCACAGGCTGAGAGATAGGGGTTCAACTTGCCAAAGAATAAAAATGGGAGAACTATTTTTCTTCTCTATCAGGTTGGCAGACGTTGAAAACAATAACGCTCACTGTCGTCATTGCTGGGGCTTACATGGCATTTACTGTTTGCCAGATGCTATACTAACCTGTTTGCATTTAATCTATCCAAGAAAAAGCTTTATGAGGAAGGGACTCTTACTACCCTTATTGTACAGATGCAGAGACTGAGGTTCAGAGAGGCTATGCAACTGGCCCAGGGTCACACAGGTATTAAGTAGTGGAATTAGGACAGAACCTACGCTGCTGGTTGCAGAGCCCGTGTTCTTTACACTCTTAAAGCGTATTTAATAACGTGGGCATTTTTACAAATTAAGGCGTCTGTGCTTCTCCGGTCAGACTCATTTTCCTCTTCTAGGCAATGGTTATCTCTAGGCCTCCCTCGCATTCCTGAAATCTCTCTGGACCCACCACTTTCCCCTTTAGCCTGTGATCTCACTTCTGACTTGAGAATAGAAACTGTGATGGGAAACCCATCAGTTTCCTGTCACTCAGCCTGCAAAGCTGCCTTTCCCCACCGCACCGGTGGAAGAAGAGGCATCCCCCCGCTGGGGCCTCTGCTTAGAGCCATCCTCTGTCGAATTCTTACTATCTCCAGTGTCCCCGTCTCTGCTGATTCTTACCATCCGGTACGACCTACTCCAAACTCTCCCACTACTGAAGCAACCATCGGTGCCCCTCCCACTGTGCACCCGCCGGTCCATCACACTCTTGCTGGTTTCCTAGCTGTGTCTCCGAGAGACAGGCCCCTGAGGCCGAGGCGGGTCCCTTCCTTCCCGAGGGCCACTGGGCGAACCTCTGTTGAGCCTGTGGGCCAGTGAGTGAGACGTGAGGATTGCAAGTTTCCGAGGCCCAGGCTGACCAAGCCCAGCAGCACCGGCTTTGCCTGCACACTGGTTTTTAAGTAATAATCAGAATTACGGTAGTGACGGCTGAGATGGGAGAGTTAGCCGTGTGCCACGTATGCTACCCAGCACTGCGCATAGATAATCGAATGTAACCCTGGTGGCTTCCTCGTGAGGGGGCGCCTATCCTCGGGCGCCCAGCTCGGGAGGGAAGTACCTTGTCCAGAGTCCGTGGCAGGTGAGCAGCAGAGGGGGGCTGGGCCCCTGGAGACACAGCCTCCTGCTACGCCTCTGCTGCCCTGTCTCCTGGCCGGGAGGAGCCCGTGTGACAGTGCGGCTGGCTTGTGACCGCTTTGGTGGCTCTCATGGTTGTGTACCTTGGCTGCCTTTTTCCTCATAAATTAATGACATGAGAGTGCCTGAGCTGTGCAGACGTTCGGATTGGGGACTGAGCCATGAACAGCTGCGTTTACTTTCTGCCTTTCATTTCGAAGGGCCTGTGACGGCAGGATGCCAACCCCCCGGGCAGCTCCACCGATCTGAGTACAAGGAGATGCGGGTCTTTGCCAGAAGGCTCAGGCCGGCCACGATGCGGGGAGGAGGGCGGGGCCACACCTGACATCTCCCAGTTGTTTCCCACATTGTGTGCCTGGCTTCTGCCATCACGTGTGGTGGTATCACTTTTTAAACTAGGAGCCAGAAGACCAGAGTTCCTTCTGGCTTTGCCTGAGACAGGCCACGTGCTTGGAGCTGGGTCCCCTCCTGTGTTTTGCAGTTCGTGTCCGTCAGAAAGGTGGGAGTGGTCACTCCTACCCCACCTTCCTGACGGGGTGCTCGGGGCCGTGGTCACATCTGCCCTGCCAGGGCCAGGGCCGCTCTCTCGCTTCCTGTAACGTGGCATGTGCTGTGCCAGGGGCCCCAGGCAGCCTCCTGCAGGGCCTGGGCTCTGCCGGCGTGGACAGATCTGCGGCGCCCCCTGCAGGCCACCGGGGCTTTGCGCCTCAGCTGGCTCCTTTCAGAGGGACTCAGCCCGTCCCTCCCTCTGTCCCTCTGCCAGAGGCACGTGTCCTTCCTCTCCGCCCGGCGTCTTGGGTGACAGGAGCATCTGCATAGATGATCAGTGGTAATTTCTTCCCTAGCTGCTACTTGCGTTTCCCTTTGTGCACTCTCTTCGCGCCCCTCATTCCTTAAATGTGGGTGATAGTCGGGGTTTCAGCGTTGGCCCTGTTGTCTTTGTGTCCCCTGACCTCGTGTCTTCATTCCCAAACCTACGTCAGATCTCAGTGGCCGTCCTCTGCAACCCCTTCCCTTCCCTCGTCCACACAGCTGGTCTCCGTCCTCTTGATTCCGGCTCCACAAGCTCTGGTGGCCCCGGCCGCTGCCCCTCCCACCGCTGCCGTGCTTGTTCAGGCCACCGGGCTCTCTCCCCGAAAGCCCCGCAACAGCCCCTGCCTGGCCTCCTGCTCCAGCCTTGTCTCTTTCCTGATGTTTTCCACATGCAAACCATCCAGCTCTTGGAGGCACGGATCTGATACTCTGTAGCTGCCAGTCCTTCGGAGGTTTAGGATAAAGTTCGCATCCCTAGACGCGCACGTGAGACTTGGCATCTGCGCCTGTGCCTCCTGGGCTCAGCCTCTGGTCCTGACGTCCCTCCGTCTCCTCCCGGCCACCCCGCTGGCGGGTCCCAGGAGGAGGCGCCCCTGCACTCGCCCCCCCCCCCGCCCTCCAAGCAATGCCTTTCTTCCTTCCCCTTTGCCTGACCCCTTGTCCCCTGGTCAGACTGCCTTGTCCTCTGGGGCCTGGAGCCCTTGGTGCCTCCAGTCGTCCTGGGACTACGTAGCAGGCGCTCAGATCCTCACTAGTTGAATGCACGAAATGACCGTCAGATGTTAAAGAAATGCATCGTACATGTGCGTGTGCTTGACACTGAGGCCTGCACAGCGGGTCCCCAATCTCCCACGTTGAAGTGTTCTGTTTCTTATAACTAGGAAAACGGAATTATACATGTTATATAGCCCAGTGGCCCTTCTCTTGTAAGTTTTTTCTTCGTCTTTTTGCTTTGTGTTAGATGAGGCAGGAGAGTAGAGAAGAGGGGACAGGTGAGGTGAGCAGGCTGCCGGCAGAAACCCTCAGAGCTGAAGAAATGCTCGGAAAAAACTGTATTCCCACAGCTTGGCGTTTGGGGGACATGAGCTTCTGAAGCAGAAATGCGACTGGGAATTCACCAGAAGGAGCCACCTGCCCCCCTAGAGGGCTGTTCCCCATAAACTCAGCTGTTCAGAGTAAGAAAGATATGGTTAACTCAGATTCAAAGGGGAAATTCAAAGTTAGAGGAAGCGGAGATGAGCCTCACTAACGATTTCTTAGAAAGACACCCAGTGGACATTTGAGGCAAGAATCACGATTTTTAAGCAAACATTTTAAAGCTTAGGAGTCAGGTTATGGGAGAGGAGGCTCTGCCCACAGCCCCGTCGTCACCTCCTTTCTACGGGAGCAGCTGCTCCTTCGTTGACACAGGCTTCTCTTGCCGCGGAGACCTCTGTGGACGGTAAACTCCAGGCTGTGCAGATGGGCCTCGGAGGGGAGCTTTGGAGCCTGGGCGTCTCCATCTCTGGGAGACTTTAAAAAGAAGCAGAGGATATTCTCGGTTGTAGAGATCCTCCCCTTCTTTTCATTTACTGTTCCCCCAGCCACCAAACAGATTTACACATCTGTTCCCAGCACTCAAGACTCAGGCTGCTGCCTGCTTCCCCTTTAAAGGTCTCTCCTTTTCCGTGCTCCCTTTCTTTTATTGTGGCCATTACTGAACTTAAATAAACCAGCTTGACTTTAGTTACTAGGTCATAGACCTGAGAGTTTTGTCCTGTGTGTAACCCCAGCCCAGCACAGTGCCTGGTACATAGAGGCCGGTCAACAGTGAACACGTCCGTCAGGTGATGGTCAAAGTCACCAGCACTGACTGTGCAGCGGGCCCTGCCCTCGGTGCCCACAGGCAGCATCTCAGGTCAACCTGGGAACAAATAGGGGTGACTGTCACCTACCTCACGTGGTTTGGGGAGGATTCATGTCAATATCGAGCACAGCACCTGCACTCAATACATGTCTGGTTTTCCTTCTCAAGTAAGGTGGCTTATCTGTACCCTCTCTCTGTGATAGTTTAAATGTAGTCTTTGTAGAATGAAAGGAAGGCATAAAATAACCTCAGAGCCCCGCTTGCTCTACGCCCCTGCTTGTCTGACTTTCTCCCCATTGGTTCATGAGCCAACGTTACATATACAGTTAAGTAAATTTGGTCCCTGTGACGCTTTCAGAGAGATGCTGCCAAAGCCGTCCTCGCTCCCTGGATGACTCTATTCCTGTCGTCCCCTCCTGTCCCCCCATCTGTCTCTCTCGCTCTCTGTGGGACCGTTCTCCCCAGCAGACAGTTCACACATACTCACAATTCACAATTTCCTGTCTTAATGCACACGCTCTTCTACTGCTGGTTTTCTCTTCTCTTTCACACAGAACTTCTTTTGAACGTTGTCTTCGGCTGCTTTCTTGTTTCCTCACCTCCCAGCCTCTCCTCAGCCCGTTCCAGCCAACCTTGTCCCTCCACCGGTCTCTGAGATCCCTTTTGCCAAAGACATCACGTCATTTCCATGAACCAAATCAACCACTGCTCTTATTTAATCCTCATTGCAGCCTCTCACCAGCATCTACCCCCTTTTCTGTCCCTTTAAAATACTCCTTTTTTTTTTTTTTTTTTATTAAGAGATAACTTACCTTCACTGAAGTACACGAATCCCAAGTGTACGGCGTGATGAGTTTTACACGTATCTGCGTCTAGGTAACGACCTCGCCGTATGCGATGCGGTGCGATGGGTGCTCCCTCCTGAAGGCCCCGCTCTCTCCTTTTCCACCCCCATCCCTCGCTGGCCCTTCCGCCTGATCAGCCTCCCGACATGCACATGTCCCAGGGCCCAGGTCTCTCTTCCAGGCACACTCCTGAGGAAGCTCGTACCACTTCAGGCTTTAGATCCTACCTATATTGTGACAGCTTCCCCATTTGACCTCTAGTCTCAGCCCGAATCCAGTCTTCAGCTCCCTGCTCTCCCGACTTGACATGTCTACGTGGAAGTCAAGTAGGCATCTTGGACCCGACACGTGAGAACAGAGATCTTCATCTCCTCTCCACTCCTTCTCTTCCCTCTCCCTCCCGTGGCCGCTTCTACATAGGCGTCTCCATCTCATTAAACAACTTCTCATCCACCCAGTTGCTCAAACTGAAACCAAGAGCTCATGCTTGCTCCTCTTATGCGCTCAGCGCACACACACATCTTGCTGACACATCATGCCCCCCAGAGTTCCCGGGCATCTCTTCCCTCCGTCTCCAGCCCAGACCACTGCTGCCACAGCCGAACTCTTCTGTCAGCTTCTGCTGTTGCCCCTACAGCCCATTCTCATGCAGCAGCCAGAGAGCTGACTTGAAAATGCGAACCAGCTTATGTCACTTTCCCACTGAAAACCTTCACGCCCAAAGCCTGCACTTTGCCCTGCAAGACCCGACATGGTCCGGGTTCTGCCTGCTTCACTCGTGTCCCTCCAGCCATGCTTGCTGGCTTCCTATTTATCAGAGGCCCCTTCTGTCCCGCCTCAGGGCCTTTGCATTAGCTGTTTCCTCTCCCTTGAGTTTTCCTTCCCCGTATATGGGGCCCTCTTGTCGTCCGGCTCAAATGTCATCTTCGCGTGAGGCCTTCCCACTTCTTTCCTCCTCCGCCACCACCGAGGGAAGCCCTCCAGTCACATCGTTGTCAGCACAGCACCTATTTAAGACCCGGGACCATCTTGCTTGTTGTCTGTTAGCTCCACAGAATTGCCCTCGTGAGCGTTGGGACTCGGCTGTCCTGCTCACAGCCGGCTTCCCAGGAACTAGGACAGCGCCTGGTACTTAGCAGCTGCACAGTTTGGACTCAGTCTGTAAACGGCGGATAAAGTGGTTACTGCCGCTCAGTGTAAAGCAGGCGGTTTGTCTAGAACCCGACCTGGGTGACAGGCCAGGAGGGTGAGCTCCCGTGCGCGGTCCCCGAGTGTAACCCGAGTGGCGTCTGTTGCAGAGAGGAGCAGGTGCCCATGGAGCTGGTGCAGCGTGACGACATCATCAAGGTCGTCCCCGGGGGCAAGTTCCCAGTGGACGGGAGAGTCCTGGAAGGCAGCACCATGGCCGACGAGTCCCTCATCACAGGTGAGGACTCCGTCCCTCTGGGTGGGCGTCAGCACCCTGGCCAGGCCCCAGGGATGCCGACGGGGCTCAGCGCATGGCGTTGGTCTCCTCTCCACCTCTAGGAGAGGCCATGCCCGTCACGAAGAAGCCCGGCAGCACGGTGATCGCCGGGTCCATGAACGCCCATGGCTCCGTGCTCATCACTGCCACCCACGTGGGCAACGACACCACCTTGGCTCAGATTGTGAAGCTGGTAGAAGAGGCTCAGATGTCCAAGGTAATGAAGGGATTTTATTTTTTATTTTATTTATTATTTATTTTAAAAATTCATTTATTTTTTATGTTGGGTCTTCGTTGCTGCGCGCAAGCTTTCTCTAGTTGTGGCGAGCGGGGGCTACTCTTTGTTGCGGTGCGTGGGCTCCTCATTGCAGTGGCTTCTCCTGTTGTGGAGCGCGGGCTCTAGGCGCACGGACTTCAGTAGCTGTGGCTCGCGGGCTCTAGAGCGCAGAGCTCAGTCGCTGTGGCGCACGGGCTTAGTTGCTCCGCGGCATGTGGGATCTTCCCGGACCAGGGCTCGAACTCGTGTCCCCTGCATTGGCAGGCGGATGCTTAACCACTGCGCCACGAGAGAAGTCCCGTGAAGGAATTTTAAAGGCACTATAACTTCAGCTGCCTCTCTCCAGAAATTATTCCAAGAGTCCCGTAGAATCAGGCAGATTTTACTGAGTAGAGAGATTGACTAATAAATGTAGTTAATGAGGGAGCCAGGAATCCCAGTCCCTGTCCATGCTCGTGGCGGTGTATGTCTTTGGAGATTGTAATTTCCCACGGTCTCCGTGTTTTGTTTCCATAGGCGCCCATTCAGCAACTGGCTGACCGGTTTAGTGGGTACTTTGTCCCATTTATCATCATCATTTCAACTCTGACGTTGGTGGTATGGATTGCAATCGGCTTTATCGATTTCGGTGTTGTTCAGAAATACTTCCCTGTAAGTTGAACGCTGTGGGCAGCGTGCTTGTTGGGTTTTAAATAATCGATTGCCATTAATCCTATTTTTTCATGTCTTAAATTCATTGGGCTTTAATTACCCATTACATCTCATTTGCTTGCTTCACTTATTGGCAGCAAAGCCTCAGCCAGGGTAGGACAATCCTGGCTATGCAACTACGCAACTCCTGCGGGTTTTCACTAAAGATGCCTTTTGCTTTCTGGTTAGATCATTTCAAACACCACTGGCTCTCAGGCGTAATGTTTAAAGCATTTACATTTTGCACTATTGGCCGTTTTTGAGGTTATGAGGCACACATCACAGAAGATAGGTCACGTCAGTCACAATAGCATGATAATATTATTTGACCAGTTTTAAGAAAAATAGATTTTTTGCTGGCTACCTCCATATAGACCATCTAACCTTGCAGCTTCCCAAGTAATACTAATAGCTTTTTAATAATTATTTATTAAACATTATAGATGAAGCAATGGAATATATAGCTTTGAGTTTAAAAAGTGGACGAAGCATACTATCTTAGGAAATACAGTTTTATCAAAATTCAAAAAAAAATACAAAACTTTTCTGCTTCGGCAGTAAGAACTCACATACATCAGTGATTGGCAACGGGGAGTGGTTTTGATTTGGTGACGTCTGGAGATGTTTTTGGCTGTCGTGGCTGAGGAGGGGTGCTGCTTGGCCTCTAGTGTGTATGATAGGAGCCAGGGATGCTGTTAAACATCCTACAACACACAGGACAGGTCCCCACAACAAAGAATTATCTGGCCCCAAACGTCAATAGTGCTGAGTTGGAGAAACCTGGAGAGACATAAAAAGCTAATGGCCCACTTGGAGTAGTATTTGATAACTGCCCAGTGAGTAGAACAATGTTTTACCTTATTTTTTAAAATATCTCATACTTAGCACAGTCTAATATGTATTTTACCTTAGAGCCATAAAATAAGAAACTGGAAATACAGAATAGATCATTTTTTCCTTTTTAAAACAATTTTTATCTGTAGTTAAAGGCATATCATATATTCTTGGTGTACTTGTCATTCACTTAGATATGATTTTCCTCCCTCAAATTTCCTATCTTAAAATGTCCAAGTGAAACACTTTCTGACATCTAGGGAGATTTCAGTGTTTTAAGAGTAGCCTATGACTGTATTCCTAGAATTTGCCAGTGGCTTTTATGGCACCTGACCGCCAACAATTTTGGCTTTTGTGGGAGAGCAGCTCATTGGCATGTGGCTGTGGGAAACTCAGTCCTAAACAAGTTGGAATATCTGGCTTCCTGCTGTTCCCTACCTTTCCATCTTACTTTCACTTCTTTTGTTTTTATCTGCAATATCAGGGAGGATGCTGACAAATGAGGTACTGCATGTTCCTTTAAGACATTGTTGTCACTCTGCTCTGTACAAGTCATCTGTAGGGACAGGGTTCGTGTCAACCTCTAGAAGTCCACCCCACTCCTCTCAGAATGCCAGGTGTGATTTTGACAAGAGTCTCTGGAGGTTAAAAACAAAACACAACACAACACAACACTTCATCCTTACCTCTACAAAATCACATTATGTGTTAAACAGCATGTCCTTCTACCGAAATCAAACTGTTTCTGTGAAAATTGAATGACCCTTAATCATGTAGCTTATTTTAGAATCTGCCTTTCAAAGTCAAAGAATAGAGGGTAGATGGATCTAAAGAGATTGTGGTCTATAGCCTTGATTTAGAAAACATGCATTTTACTGTAATTAAGTGAATACAGCATCTCTCAGTTGTTCTCCAGAGATACTAGCCATTTTGAAAGATAAACCAAGGTAACTCAAGATGTTAGGATGCAAATAATCATACCAATATGTGTCACCAGGTAACTGGGAAGGAGATCTGTATTTTTTTGGATTTGGATTTTTATAAAGGAAACAGTGGTGGAAAATAGAAGAAAATAAAGATTGCTCCAAATCCCATCCCTATATGCACTTCTCTGCACTTTGGTGAACATCTTTCCAGTATTGTTGAAAGGCTATCTAGAGATATAGGCAGATAATTTTGCACTAATTGAATCACAACACATGCCATTTTATGCTTGTTTTTTTAAGTTCAGCAATGCTACTGATATCTTTCCATGTCAATATGTATACATCATCATTTTAACATGTGCATAATATTCCATTATGCACGCCATACCTGCAGTTTAATTAACCAATCCCCCATTGGTTGTTTCCAGTTTTTTCCCTTTATGAAAAAGCACTGTGAGAAATATCCTTGTATCTTTTCCCACATAATTATTACCTTAGAGTTGATTCCTTGAAGAGCTATAGTTTTTTAAAGCTTTCATAATAATAAAAATAATAATGATAATGTAATAGCTATACTTTCTCAGACTCCTCTCTCCTACGTCAGGTGTTGTACTGTGTATATTTATGTTTGTATGTATTCGTATGTATGTTACCTCATTTCATCCTTACAAAAACCTGTGAGCTGGGTATTATTACCTCCATGTTGTACGTGAGGAAGCTAAGACACGGAGTGTCAGAGCCAGGATGTAGACCTACGTGGTCCGATTCTAGAGCCTGTGCTCTTCCCCTATCGGGGATTTTTATGTGCCTCTCTCCTCTCATAATGCCTTTCCCTGAGGAAAGCCTGTAGGATCAGGTTGGAGCAGTAAAGTGAACCACGCGATACCTGCAAAGCAGAGCGGGCCGCACCGTGTCTCCTGGAGCCCAGCTCATCACGCCAGTTCAGGTCCCCCACCTGCACTGGAATGTTCTTTTTTTTTTTTTTTTTTAATTTTTATTGGAGTAGAGTTGATTTACATGGTTGTGTCATTTTCTGCTGTACAGCAAAGTGAATCAGTTACATGTATCTACTCTTCTCTAGATACTACTCCCATATAGGCCCCGACAGAGTGGAATGTTCTCATATGATCAGAATTACGTGTGGTGCCTCCTCTAACTCCCACCCTGCCTCTGTCTCTTTCCTCTCGTCAGACGTCCAGCAAGCATATCTCCCAGGCAGAGGTGGTCCTCCGGTTTGCGTTCCAGACGTCCATCACGGTGCTGTGCATCGCCTGCCCCTGCTCTCTGGGCCTGGCCACGCCCACGGCCGTCATGGTGGGCACGGGGGTGGCCGCCCAGAACGGCATACTCATCAAGGGAGGCAAGCCTCTGGAGCTGGCCCACAAGGTTGGCCCCCGCTTCCTTCGAGGTCTTGGCTGGGGTGATTCTGTAGCTGTATATGCTGCATGATTTTTTTTTTCTTTTTTGACTTAGTCCTAGTGAAAATAGTACCTGTTTAAATTTCATATTCAGAGAAAAACCTGAAAGAGGACTGAGGGTAGCACTACTAATTAAGTAAAACAGGAAGCCAGGACTAACGGGGAATGACAACAGGACCGGCAGCAGCTCACGGTCAGAGACCTAAGTGCTGTATAAATATTGATTTAATCTCATCGACAGCCCTGAGGCGGGTGCTGGTTGTTTCCACTTTACAGGTGAGGGAAGCGCAGCAGGAGTGGGCTGGGCGACTTGCCAAAGGCCTGCAGCTAAAATGTGCAGCTCGGGGCTCACAGCCAGGGGGTCGGGCTCTGGGGAAAGGAGCTGCGCTGTCGCCGCGTGATCGGGGAGGGTCCTGGGACCTCGGGTGGAGTAGCAGGTAGCAGTGTCTATGGAGAATCTCCCTTCAGCCCAGCAGTCCCCAGCCTTCCATCCTCCCTTTATTTCTTCGGTGTCTGTTGAGCGTTTACTCTGCGGGGGTCCTGTGCTGGGCCCTGGCTCTCAAGGACCTTCCTGTCCGGCAGGAAAGACAGACACGGAGCAAGCAAGCAGCAGGCGCCGTGGAGAGTGTGAGATGCCGTGAGGACAGTTCCTCAGGGGCCTAACCGTAGACCCGTGTGTGTTGGATGGGGTGGGCACTGGTGCAGGTGCTCAGGGGAGGTCTGAGACCTGTCAGCTGACAACAGAGGTTGGGAGGGGTGTCCCGGCCGTGGGACCAGCACGTGGAAAGGACCCGGGGGGGGGCCGTGCTGCCTGGTCCCAGACTCCGTAGGACTGGAGACCGTGAACATGTCCCCGCCATTGTGTCCCCGGCATCTTGCCCCGCTCCTGGCACGTTGGAGTCACTCCACAGTTATTTTCTCAATAACTAAATGAGGGCCAGAAAGAGAGAGAAACTGACAGGAGGTGAGGGTCCTGAAGGAGGAAGGAGGGGAGAGAGGGGCCCTGAAGGGCTTCGGAGGGTTATTCAGTCCCGGTCCAGAGCTTAACCAAGAGCAGCAGGGACACACGGGGGCAGGGGCGGGGGTGAAGCGCCTGCAGGAAGACCGTCCTGGCGGCGGAGCGGGGGCTGGCCTAGAAGCTGGCCAGGACTGTCAGAGGAAGGCCGGTTAACCGTGGTGAGGAGGCCCCACTCAGTCAGAAACAAGAAGCGGAGCTGTCGTTTGCTAAATGAGGGAGAACCGAGCCTGAGGCACGCAGTCTGAGTGCAACAAGGGCTGACCTTGTACCAGGTCCAGGGGTGCGTGGAGCGAGGGAACTGCTGGGCTCCGGCCACGCAAGCTCAGGCGCCGAGTGTGGCTGCTTCCGACTGGCTGAGCCCAGACCCGTGGGGACCAGTGCCAAGCTGCCGCTGACCGAGGGGGACAGGTCCCCAGACTCGCTCTGTGGTTGCTTGTTATTACGGCCAAGGAACACTCCCTTCCTTTTGTGAACTTGGAATTCGAGAACACTATTCTCTGTAGGCTTTTGCACTGATGCAGGCCGGAGGAAACAGTGGTTGACCCGGCAGATAGCGGTGGACCGGGAGGTGGGCAGACCCCTCAGGGTCACGCTCCTGACCCGGCCCGAGGAGGAGGCCGCACGGCGTTACTGCACGGTGATGCCTCCCTGTTACATCAGAGTGAGAGCTTCTGGCTCACCCTGGTCCAGGTTAAGCCGGAGTGTGGATTTTTTTTTTAACTGGGCAGAGAGGGAAACAATGTTTTGGCAGAGGGAGTGGTTGAGCCTTGGGATGGACGCAGAGGATTCTGTAGCGTGTCATGAAGGAGTGTATTGTGACCTGCTTGGGGTGGGTTGAGTGAAGTTCTGCCTCGAGATTGTGAGGACTCTGAGAGTCCCTTCCATCTGTGTTTTGGTCACTGAGATGTGGTTTTTTGGGCAGATAAAGACTGTGATGTTTGACAAAACTGGCACCATCACCCACGGGGTCCCCAAAGTCATGCGGGTCCTTCTGCTCGTGGACATGGCCACGCTGCCCCTCCGGAAGGTGCTCGCTGTGGTGGGGACTGCGGAGGCCAGCAGTGAGCACCCCCTGGGCGTGGCAGTCACCAGATACTGTAAAGAGGTAGGTGGACTGGGCGTTGCTGGGCCCTCGCTTCCCCGGCTCCCCCGCTCTCCTCAGCTGGGCTGGAAGACTCCGGGCTCCTTCCTCCTCACACGCCTTTCCTCCTCGCTGCCCCTGGCCCCCACGTCAGCTGCCTCCACAGAGGCCTTGGCTCGTGTGGTCTGGAAACTGCTGAGCAGGCCCCCTGGAGCAGGTGGGGATGCAGCGCACAGCGGCAGGTCCCTCGTCACGTTTCCAGATCTTCACAAAGCAGTTCAGTGTTAATGAGCTAATGGCCATTCATTAGGCATTTCCTGAGCATCCCGAGCTCAGGGGAGTAAGAATTCATAAGATGCGAGCTCTGCCTGCTGGGAGTTGATGGTCGGGTGGGGAAGACAGGCGTGTTCAGTCCCGCACGAGCGCTTCGTGCAAAGGGATACAAAAACGAAGGGGGTCTCGGAGCCAGGTCGGGAGAAATCCATCCACTGGGGACTCCTGAGACGGAGAGGAAGCAGCAGAAGTGACCAGAGGACTGTGGGCTGTTGGCACAGTTAGTGGGGAGCCTTCCCCTCTGACCTCTGCAGGTGAGAGGGCCTAGTTAGCTTTCTCTGTTTTCAGTCTGCGCGTGGAGGCAGCAGGACGTACCAGAATACTGCCCTGAAAACACGTAAACTGTCTGAACAGGACAATTATCAGTAAATGTAGAAGGTGACATGGATGCCTTGGGGAAGAGTTGACAAGTCTTCCCGGACAGGGAATCTTTCAGAAATCTCATTTCGCATCGTGTCCTTTGTGTAGGGTGCGGCTATTTCCCCTCTCATCCTTCTGATGTTTCAGAAAGAATTCTGCTCACCCCCAGGCATCCTTCCTTTGGGTTCTGTTACCCAAATAAACCCAGCCCTTCCCTTTCTCCTGCCACGTCGGCCCTCCCCACCAGGGTCTGGCCATGGGCGATTATCCCTTGATGGCCTTAAAATAGTTTGTTACCACTTACCTGTTCCATCGTTTTTATGAAATTATTTGCAACAGAAAAAGAAAATCTTTCCTCCCTTTGGCACCTTCATCCCCGCCACCCCCTCCCCGACCCCAGCCCTTAATTTGGGGTGTTGGATGTGAATTGCCTTTCTCCTTTCTGGACTGCAACCTGTCCACTCTCCCCAGGCATCCAAACTCTAGGAGAGGGTTGAGGCTGTTTTAAATGACTGTGTCCTATGAGAGAGAAAGAGTAGCTGACTTGAGCGTCGATCTCTCCGCCTTTCCCGGAAGTTCTCCTCCTGTCCCTCCCTTCCCTCTAAATTCCTGGTGTCTGCTGCTCTTCCCCCGCCTCACCCCCACCTCTGTCCTGACTCCCTCTCGACTCACCTGTTTTCTGCTTCCTCTCCCCCACTTTCCTTCCCAGGAACTTGGCACAGAGACCTTGGGATACTGCACGGACTTCCAGGCGGTGCCTGGCTGTGGGATCGGCTGTAAAGTCAGCAACGTGGAGGGCATCCTGGCCCAGGGCGAGCGCCCACGTGGCCAACCGACCGCCCACCTGAACGGGGTCAGCAGCATCCCCATGGAAACAGGTATCCCTGGCCTCGGTTTCCGCTGCCTGGCCCGCCGGGGGCTGGGCCCAGCCATGGAGAGCGCCATGCCAGGCTTGCCCCGTGGTTCCCGACTGCGGAGAAGGTGGCTCAGGGCTGGTGTGCTGCACGCCATCTCCCAGGGAAGCCTGCAGCTTCTCTCGTGTTCTTCGATGTGGCTGAATCTTGACGCTAATGGCAGACAAAAGCAGTGTGTGACTTAGAGTCATGGAGTATTGCTTCCCTGCTCCCTAGTCTCGAGTCTCCTCTTTCTTAGCCCAGGTTAGTCTTGGGATAAGACTCGTAAGCTATAGGGTAGGCAGATGGGAGTCTTCCTTTTGTTCCTCCTAAACAGGAAACCTCCATGTGGTCAACTCTGATGGGACGTGACGTATTTACAGAGCTGGCAGCCATCAGGGAAAGTGAATGGAAATGGTCTGCCCAAGTCAAGAAGGGGCACTGGAGGGACAGCTGCTTTTTGAATAACGGCCTTTCTTATTCAAAGGGTGCTAGCCATCAGCATAAGAGAGTGGAAACGCCCCCAAACCAAAAAACCCATGTCTAGTGTTTGCTCTTAAGTATGTTAGTAGTTAAATCTTGATTTAGATTTTGTTAGAAGCTATTACCACCTTATGGCAAGTTAAAGCCCTGGGATGACCTTTCCTTTGCCTTCCAGGGACTGGTCTATCAGTGACACCTAAGGTAGAGGTGACAGGTGCAGGACTCAGCTGGCCTCTTAGGAGGTATAGCTTCAAAACCTTTCATACACGGTGGCCGGTTGTTAGCTGATTCACCTTGCATCATCTGTACCAAGCAGTGATGGGTCTAGTCCACACTGGCTTTCGGCGCTGACCAAATAATTAACCGCTTCTAATCCTAATTCTAATCCAATCTAACGGCAGCAGCAGATACCCCTAAAGGCCAGTAGGTACACTACGCGGTGTTTAATATGTTTGTAACATCTTTACATGTTTTAATTCATACCGCGGTTCTGCATGTTAGTTATTCTTTTTCCCCTGGTTCTTTAAGGATGTTTTTTCAAGAGGTGTTTATTAGGTTGTGGTTTTTCCAGAACCGTCAAGTGGACGTTTTGCTGTTGAAACCATCCCATGGTTTTTAGTGCTTTCTCACAGTGAACTTGGCCTCTTTGGGAATAACCACACACTCCTTTGAGCAGATGCGGTCCCGCAGACCTTCTCTGTGCTGATCGGCAGCCGAGAGTGGATGAGGCGCAACGGCTTGACCGTCACCAGCGACATCAGCGACGCGATGACCGATCACGAGACGAAAGGCCAGACGGCCATCCTGGTGGCCATCGACGGTACTGCTCTGCTCCCCTGTCCTCTGCTCTCAAGTGAAGCTGGAGACGTCAGGCAGAAATAGAGTCCTTTTTTTTTTTTTTTAAAGTAAATCTTCCTCACTGTTAATTTTAGTTCTATTTTCGAAAAGGCTGTCTTGCCATTTTTTTCACTTCATTGTCAATCCTGAGGCCCCCTCTGGCCACCTCCATCTTTGCCGCCAGAGTGAAGATGGCTTCAGCCTCTTTGCTCTTGGGATTCTAAACTGTCTTCCCCACCATCGTTTGCATCTGCCCAGGTTGGCAGTTGAAAGTCATCCTTTCTCATTCATCACTGCAGGCGAAACAGCAGTTGACTTCCTGAGAGGTTTAACTCTAGGATGCTTTACACACTGGAATCCCCTGCAGCCTTCACAGAGCTTCTCAAGATTGTGTGTATCTTAGTACTCAGGTTATATCCTGGGCTTTACATCTCAGGTAGATTAGAATCACTTTGTTACTGTTAGTTTCTGCTAATAGAAGTAAAAACTACATGCAAATAAGAAATAATTTAATTGCTGTATTTTGAATGCTCCTCTTTTCCCATATTCATTCTCTCTCTCTCTCTCTCTCTCTCTCTCCCTCCC